GTGATTTTCACAGTGAGAAGACGCCAGCGTCCATGGGAAAGCATTGTGAATGCTTTCCTATGGACTGGCTGAATGCGTGCACGCCTCTTGCCGCGCATGCACATTCAGCCGAAGCGATGGGGAAGAGGGAGGAGAGGAGGAGGAGAGCTCCCCGCCCGCTGCTAGAGAAAGTGGTAAGTTTAACCCCTTCCTCCCGGCGGCAGGGGGACCCTGAGGGTGGGGGCCCCCTCAGGGCACTATAGTGCCAGGAAAACTAGTATGTTTTCCTGGCACTATAGTGGTCCTTTAAGGTGGGTTTGCTGTGCGGGTGCATACACTACATCCCCATAATCAATAACCAGCATTAGCATTTGTTGCACTATTTGTTTCCTTATTGTGGGGCTTAGGCATGATTTGTTTCTGTACAGGGCACCTAGTTTTGGGTAAAGTTTTGAAGAGATTTTCTTCAATGTGAAGGCCAAAGGATAGATTGGGCTCTAGCAACATACCTAGACTGCTGTCAGTGTTCTATTTGTTCTGATACACAGTTGTTGATTTTGTAGTTTACGTAATTTAGGTACAGTTCCAAAGATCATTGTAACAGTTTTTTCAGTATTTAGGAAGAGTTTGTTATCCGCTATCCACTTTTCTACCTCTGAATTGGTTTTGGAGCACAGCCTCAAGCTGGGGTAGCTTGGGTTTACTAGTGTAGATTACTGTGTCGTCTGCATACATGTGTACAGTTGAGGATTTGCAGATGTTAGGCAGATCATTTATAAATAACGTGAATAGCAGGGGGCCGAGTATGGAGCCTTGGGGAACACCACACGTGACTGGAAGAAGGAGGGAGGCGCTATCAGAAATGGCCACATATTGCAAGCGGTCTGAAGCATACGATCGAAACCAGGTTAGCGGATGATCACCAATGCCTGAGTTTTTAAGTTTTTGCAAAAGAATACCATGGTCTACTGTGTCAAAGGCCTTGGCAAAATCAAGGAAAATAGCTCCAGTTAAGTTTCCTTGTTCCATGCCAATTTGGATGTCATTGCAAACCTTTAAAAGGGCAGTCAAAGTTGAGTGATTTGGACAAAAGCCTGATTGATCAATGGTCAGATAATTTATATATATGTTAGTACCTGCTGTGAGGCGACAACGTGGATTACATGATGATACCAAATAAGCTAACACTCTTGCAAGAAACATTGAACTGGCATCTGCAGCATTCAAGCATGGATTGTGCAGGGGATGGAATAGATATCACCACAATGGACTGGAAACACAATTCTGGATCCTTGCCCTCCCCTGTCCCCCCCCCCTCTGGATGTGGCCTACATCCAGAGGGGCTTGCTGTCTGTTGTGCAGAAGTTCCCCGATATCTCTGGCATTTGGCTTTTCCTGGGTTTGGATTTTTTGTGTTTTCTGCCCATTGTGTTCCCCTGCTGGGATTGAAAGGAGTTGGTTGGTGCTATGTCCAATTTCCACCCGAAATTAGCCGTTTTTGTTCTATTTGGTGCAGAGCTCCAGAGATTGCGACTGTTCTGTTCCACGGCAAGCTCCGACCCACCTTCAATATATTTAACCTTCCCAGCAGCTCCTTCCGCTCCTGGTGTAAATTTCGCGAATAATGCCCTCTTTTTGTAGGACAGCATAGCATGCCCTTCTTTAGAGAGGGGTTAAGGACAAGTCACCAAAGACTAGTCCTTGTCAAAAATAAAGTATTGGGTGCTAGTTCTATTGGGAACTGTGTGTCACAAGTGTCTTTGTAAAAGCAGTAGTTGGAGGCAATGCAGGCAGAGGGGTTGATACATGCCGGGGAGATGGAGACACGGGCAGAGGGCAGAGCCCAGCTGGAGTAGTTGTAGCATCTGGCTTTACCCCTGGTCTTAGTAGTGGTCTTCACTGATAGACCTTCATCCCCGGTGGAGTTTCGTCACATGGAATAACATAGGTAGAGAGGAAAAATTTCATATCTAAGCCTAATTATGAGTTGGATGTTGTAATGTAGCCCATGAAGCAGCACAGCTAAGGGAAATGGGCCTTGACATTGTTAGGAGACAGGGATAGAAGGGGTCTAGGGTGGGGTATTGGCTAGAGGAATTGGGGGGAAGGTTTTGGCTACAGGCAGGGCTGGACTGGGGACAAACTTAGGCCTGGGCATTTTTTTTAAAATCACAGCGGCCCACTGAGATGGGGGCAGGGCCAGATAGGGTGTGTTTTGTCATAACAAATGACAAGCATGCACCTTGTCAAAGTGAGCATGTTGGTTTAATGCTCCTCCAGGGCAGAATATGGGCAGAGCTCTGCTGAAGAGCTCTAGCATGAAAAAAAGGCCCTGTATTTGTTCTGCACAGTTCAAGCAAATTTAATAACATGCTTGGGCAGTGTTTGCTTGCAACTTGTTTCTGGTGTCTCCCTAAATGGGATACCAGGAGACAAAAAGACTTTTGCCCGGTGTGCCCGGTTGCCAGTCCGGGCCTGGTACCCCTCAATAAACCACTTTTACTTCTAAACAATGCAAATATCTATATCTCTAAATACAAATCCTCTGTACCATACTTTATCCTCACGGCTGAAAGATGGTAATAACCAACTTAAGTAGGACCTCTAGACCTCCCTCTATCAATCTCCGTACTCCGGAAGTATGGATCTGCCTCCTTGGGTAAATCCTCCAAATATAGCGATATCTGGCAGCCGTGGAAGCTCTTTATGACACAACAAAGCAATCCCGTTAACCCTGGCAACTCAGAGGAAATCCAACAACTAATCAACACTCAAAACGCGTTTCATGAACCGGATTCGACTCATATATAGATGACTTTTGATGACAAAATACTCCTCTCCAAAATGGAAATACACCCTGTCATGAACCTTGATGTATAAGTATAACATGACAGTTAAGTGTGTATATGTGTAGACATGATTGTACTTTGATTGTAAACCTATATTCGAAATCGGAAGGGCAGTAAGGACACCTTTCTCCACAACCAGACACATACTGGCTGTCTCGAAATCACATAACAGAGCAACCACCACTCTTTGTTCTCTTTATTCTTTTTAAATTTTCATTGTTATAATTTACCATTTTTGCACAGTTTAACTTTCCCCTTCAGATGGACACATGTGCTAATCCCCTGTTGATTATTTAAGAAAATTATAAAATGTACTATAATTGACAGAAACACTGAATGTAACAGTGCACCACCTCTGTGAATTTCATTGTAACCCCTATATAACCAACAATGGTTTCTCTGTATATTTTATACGTGTTGCTCTCACACATAAGAGAATTATCATTGTGTGTGTGTATTGTTTAATTTATGATGAAAAAACAATAAAATAAAAAAAAACATTTAAAGAAAAAAACCATCTGACGCCAGCATGCAGTGCACTCTGGTGAAAGACATAACTGCTTCTCCCTTGCATCAGTCACTTCCTGGTTTGGTGAGAACCGTGCAAACCCCACACAGCCTGAAAAGTTGCAGAGTATGCAGGAACGTCAAAAAGTTAGTATCTATTGCATTATTATTTTTAAAGTATTATATAATAATTTAATTATTATTATTAATCAATATTATTTGTAATTTATTATTATTGCATACATTTTAATAAATACTGGGTGATGAATTCAATAAAAGAATTAGTCAAATGTAGCTGAATCTGGCTTGAAGTGTCCTTTTGTAAATACTTGAGTTATGCAATAATTTTATGCAAGTATACCTGTCGCACTATCTTTGTTGTGTACAAAACGTTAAGAATGCACAAATGCCTTTATGCCATGTCTGCAAGGCCCCTATTTAAAGGTTTGAATAATAATGTTATACGTTTGAATTGATTTACATCATTCTTTTCCATACAGTATTAAATATAAGCATGAAATTATACTGAAAAGATAATACTATAAATGTTTTGAATTTACTGGCCATTTGTCTTACTATAATGTATTATAAAATAGTATAATTTTCTTTGTATAGGAACTGTTTGGACACAACAAGTCCTAAGTCTAATTCTTAATGAAGGACACCGCAATGGAGTGGAAGCTCTTAATAATATTGACAGAGCTCCATGGATTGAATACAATATAAATAATGTTAATTTTGAGACCCGACCCAATCCTCGACTTTTTTCATCTCACCTTCCTTATCACTTAATGCCAAGGGATCTGAGGAACCGGAGAGGCAAAGTGAGTGCAGTGTTTTCCTTTTTTTCCTACAATGTTTTAACAAATATTTTTCTTTTAGCACAGACTATACCAAAAAAATAATCAAAATCTTTAGACAAATATTTGTATGTTAACTACCAATGAGCTATCACCCTTTATCTTTTGAGTCTTGGTTTGGAAAGTTGAAGTATATATGATACTAGACTGTCCTCACAGGACAGAGCAAAAGAGATATAAATAAATAAATAAATAAAAACCACATAAAGTGGAAAATGCTTATCTATTTATACACGAAAAGAGAAAAAGGAGAAAGGCAATAACATATTAACCCCTTAAAACCGGAGGGAGTACTATTACGCCCTATTCTAAGCGGCTCTAAACGTCGCAGGGCGTAATAGTACGCCGTCCGGTTTTTCTTACTTACCCGGTCGCCGGCGATCCCACGCCGGCGATCGCGGTTGGGGAGAGTCACCTGGGATCCCAGGGAGTCCCCCGCGGCGGATTCTGCCTCCTCCGGCCCCCCCGGCCATGTGAGAATGAGGTCCTTGCGAGTACCTCACAATCACATAGCTGGGTTAGCTGGCTGCATTGCCAGCAGGGGGACTGCCTGTAATGACAGTTAGTCCCCCTGCTGGCTGGAAATCAAATAAAAGTCAAAATCAGTGTAAAAAAAAATAAAAAATTATATACGTAGATCATATATTGGAAGGCATGGCCTGAAGTTGTGGGAGGGGCTATAGACCTACTTAAGGGACTCCCCCCTTCCTTTACTCACCTTCGTTGGTCTAGACGAAGAGCAGGCTGATACTCGCCGGCTTCCGTTGCTCCCGACTTCCTGGTTCGTGACGTCACTTCCGGCGAGATGCGGCGCACTCCTCTGACATCACACGCTGACTTCCGTCGGCTCCACAGGCCCACCGGCTCTCTAAACCCGGCCCGAACAGCGGCTTTCAACCCGACATCACCGGCCCCAGAACCGGACCGACCCCAGAACCGGACACTCGCCGGCCACCAACCCGACCGGCCTCTCCCCCACCAGACCGTTTTTGGTGCGGTAAGTGAGACTAAGTTAACGTGGAAAACCGGTCTTATGACTACGGGGACATCTCTGTGGTTTTAAAAGCCAGAGACCCCAGACTCAGTAAGAAACTTGCCATTCCTGATTTCGTGCTGGCTTTCGGTATCTTTAGAGATATTCTATGCACGGCTCACCCCAATAGAAGGGAGGAACTCGATCTATATATGCATAAGCTGGTGGACCTCCGTAATAAGTATGGTGGCTATACTTTTTACGATTACCACAAGTCCTTTTCATCAAAAGTGTCTGCCACATTGTCTCAGTACGGCATCCAGATGGATTGGAGCCAACTGGACAATGAGCTATTCCTCAGACATTTCGCAGGTCTTAGGACACCAGCTTGTGCCTTATGTACATCTCCCGCAGCTAATTTTTGCCCGCTCTGTCCGGACAGCACTCCCTGCCCATCCTTGAATCATCCCACTAAGGTTGAGAAACAGACCAGAGACAAACTGGGTCGTCCAGTAGTGTATCTAGGCTAATCTCAGATTTGCAACAATTTCAACGAGGGCTCCTGCGGCTACAGCGCCTGCCGCTTATTGCACGTGTGCTCACATTGTTTCAGGGCACATGCGAAATCCATGTGCCCTAATAAAATGTACCAGGAACCTTATTTGTCTCCGGTAAACATTCCTTTACTTGCATGAATGCTATCCACGCACCCCTCCAAACACCTTGTTGATTTTTTATGTACGGGTCTCACCCAGGGTTTTCACACAGGGGTCATTTACATGCCAACTGGGGTATTAGAGTGTCACAATTTACAGTCTGCCACTAACCACCCTACGGCAGTCACCACACTGTTACAACTGGAAGTGGATCAAGGATTTGTCATTGGGCCTTTAATTAACCCCCCCTTTTCCAGCTGGAGAACTAACAATATCGGACTGGTTTCCAGCAAACATTCGGAGAAACTAAGACCTATCATTGACTTATCCGCACCCCACTCCTCTGCCATCCCCAGCCTAAACTCATTGATTCCATCTGAGGAATTTTCCCTACAATACTCCACTATTGACGACGCTATTGCAGCTATCAGATCTGCAGGGTTGGGGGCTTGGATCAGCAAGACGGATATTGTGAATGCTTTTAAATTATTACCTATACACCCCTCTTTGTGGCACCTGCATGGCGTTAAGTGGCAAGACTCCTACTACTTTTTTACAAAGCTCACTTTCGGTGCCAAAAGTAGTCCCAGGATTTTTGACACGTTTGCAGAAGTTTTGTGTTGGCTCCTCCTCAATATCTGCAGGTGCCCGAATGTGATACACTACTTAGATGATTTTCTTTTCATCAAATCCAATTCCACCCCCCCCCCACGTAGCCTAGACAAAGCAACCAAACTATTCACATCCCTTGGTGTTCCCGTGTCACCCACAAAAACCGAAGGACCAGATACATTGATTAACTTTCTGGGTATTCTGCTGGATTCATCAACTGATGATGGCCAGCCTCCATAGAGGAAAGGTAGTTCACATCCTACACAATATTAGCCACTACATGCACAGGGGGTCCTGCAAATGTAAAGAACTACAATCACTTCTGGGTTCACTAAATTTCGCCATGCGCATAATCCCCCAGGGCAGGGCTTTCATTGTTAGGCTCCTCGCCCTGTTCCCCACTTTCGCCAACGACCATGTCCGCATATCTTTAGACTGTCCTGCGACCGCTGACCTCCAGATGTGGCACAAATTCCTCTCATAATGGAATGGAAGGAGCATGTTCCTCCCACAGATTGATTCACAGTCACGGGTCATTTGGACAGACGCAGCGTCTTCAGCGGGATATGCGGCCATTTTCGGCACAGAATGGCTCTGGGGGACCTGGCCTACAGAAACACAGGGCATTGAGGGTTTTCACACTAACGCAGCCCTATTTGAAATATACCCTATAGTTGCTGCAGCCGTCACTTGGTGTAGGTTGTGGAAAGGTCAGTCCGTACGCTGCTTTTCCAACAATCTGGCAATATGCCACATTATCAACAAGGGTCGCTCTTCTTCCTTGGCGATTATGAGTTTCCTTAGGAAACTGACATGGCTGGCAGCTACCCATCAGTTCCACATTGTATGCTCTCACGTTCCTGGCATCTACAACACGGCAGCTGACCAACTCTCTCGCTTTCAATTTCAGGCTTTCAAATTGTCCCTACCCTCGGCAGCTCGGGTAGCAACCCCAGCGCCAACTTTCCAAGAACTTGTCATGGAGTAGACGAATTACTTCAGCACAGACACGTTCTTACCAAGTTAGCCTTATCCACCAGCACCCAACACGCGTATCACAGAGCTTTTCACTTGTACAAACAATTCATGTCTGACCATCACCTAGCCGGTTCGAGGTTTCTTCACTGATAGCTTTTGCATCTTTTTGCCACCTTAAATTTAAGTTTTCACATAATACTATTAAGCTATACCTCACGGGCATACAACACCATATGTATTGCTCCTTCCCTAACCACAAAGGGTTCTTAACTTCTTACCCCATCCGAACACTACTGAAAGGCATAGCCAAGGCAGACGGCCCTGCAACTCCCAAGAGACTTGCCATTGACATTAAACTGTTCAAATCCTTGTCCGACCTTCTCGACCAGGCTCCATTTGAACCCCATACGAATGCAGTCATTAAAACTGCTATTTATCTAGCGTTCTATGGGTTTCTTAGACCAAGAGAATTCACCATTAGTGGCCAGCACCATAGCCAAGGGTGCCTCCTCACCTCCTACCTCAGGAAACACACCGACTACTACGTTCTGACCCTACCTAAGACCAAAACATAGTATGAGTACAATAAAAATGCCATACCGTCCAATTGTTATGAATCGGGTTGAACCGTCTCAATTTAGGATCTGTGTCCTTTCAACTCGTGTTATTTCCTGATTCTCATGGAAACCATAGAAAAATAATAGATATTCTAGTCGATTAGGTTTTAAAAAATACTATAAGCCTTTACTTTATTTCTAAATAATATTATCACAATACATTATGCAGTGATAACTGTGTAATGTATAACAATAAATATTAAGCTACTAAAACACTGAAGCATTGTCAAACAGCAGACCTTTAGGTACAGTTACTCCTTGATGTATATAGGTCTGCAGTCTCTGGTTCCTGGCACATCCATAGCTCTAGATGGAATCTTCTGGTTAGATACACATATAATACTAAAAAGCTGTTTGCTCTTTTCAGGCTTCCATGAAAGTGGAAAAAAGCCTGCACAGTTTCTGAGTCAATGTCCATGTATAGAAGTCTAACATATGTGGCTTTCTCAAGACCAGCACAGCCATAAACTTACAGTTACATAGATCCAAAATCTCTTTCACTGGCCAAGAGTCATGTAGCCTACTCCACAAGGTGAATAGCACGCTATGGCACAGTAGTGATGTAGTGACCTTATATATTGTGACATAGAACACACACACTATAAGGGTATACCCTTACATCATCTTGGATATTTACTGCAAAAAAGCATGAGCACTACTCATAGGGCAATACATTTTACAATAACGTGTATGCACAGTATGTCCCAATCTGGAATATTGATGATAGATGCTCCTCAAGGATAATAATGGGAAAACATCAGATGTCAATTAAAAGTATAACATTTATCAATACCAAACATATAAAATCTTACATTCAGGTGTCCCACAGTCAGTGTTTCAACACTGTCTGTCCCTTCCTCAGGTGAAATGACACTATATAGTATAGTGCCTTTTTTAAAAACACTGATATTGGCGCCAAAGTTGTCATCCTGTTGTCTGCGTCAATTCCGGTTTTGCCTGCTGCTATAGATTACACTTCGACGGCCATCTTGGCGGCCACTTCGACGGTCATCACGTACAAGCTTCCGCCAGAAGAACCAAATTGGCCTTATTGCGGCCATTCTTCCCTATCTTCATGTGCCTTCTTGGCATCAGTATTTCCGCCGGAAGTGCCCAAACTCCACTGGAAACAGTATGGTACCATTTTTGCACTCTAATGTCCATTCTTAGCGTTTTAAAATATCGCGATGGCTATCTTGGTACTTCTAGCCTTAAAAGTAGTTCTTTAACTTAAAAAATATATATACTAAGAAATATTGTAGACCAACTTAATTTAATTATGCATGTCATACATGACCTTCTGAAAAAAGGGTTTCTAATTCAAAAATCTATTTCATTTTTGTTTTATTTAATGATTTTAAATGGTCACCCCTCCAGGGTTTTTCAATTTTCTGAATACCTACAAACCTTAAAACACTGCAGTCACCATTAGGTATTTGGTTATAATGAACTGGAACTGAATGACTTAAACCCCTGTTGTTCATGTTCTTAATAAGTTCATTAATCCTAACCTTTAGTGGTCTAGTGATTCTTCCCACATACTGCAGTCTGCATGGACATGTTTAAAGATATATAATACAACTTGTGTTACATGCAATAAAATAGTTAATTTTGTATTTTTTTTTATTACATTGGAGGAAAATATACCTACGTATTTGTAGTTGCTTTAGTTATCTGACAGGACTTACAGCTTCCACAACTAAAAAAAGTTTTTTTATTTTTTTACCTTCCAAATCTTTATCCTTGGCCTTCGCTTTAACCATACAACTTTTAGTGAGGAATTGTTTTATGTTATTTACTCCTCTGTATACCATTCTAGAGTTTTTGCCTATATAAGTGCTTAAATCATAATTTTGTTGAAATATGTGCCAGTGTTTATTTAACATTCTTTTAAGAACAAAGCTTTGTGAATTAAAATCTGAAATAAAACTAATTTGTTCTTGTGCTAAAATTTATCTTTGCCTTTCTACTTTAATAATTTAACAGTAGGTTTCTAGCTAACTTCTTGAAATTGTTTCTCTATTATCTCTTTTTTCTATCCTTTCTGGTAAACTTGTTTCTTAAGGACCTGGGATTGTTCAACAAACATATTATCATCTTTACAATTTCTTCTGATCGTTGTAAATTGTCCTTTGGAGATATTGGCCAACCACAGAGAAAAGTGGCAGCTATTAGTATCAATGTAACTATTGAAATCCACCATTTTTTTTAAAGTACTGTTTTTTTAAAACATTTTCTCTAAAAACTCGTAAGTCTAAAAAGTGGACTTCTAAAACAAAGAATGTAGGTTTGGAACAAACCAAACCAACAAAAGAGGGCGCTAGAAATCTAGGCAAAAACGAGATATAGCAAATATGGGAATCAGATCAATATAAAAAATGATATGATTTATTCATAAAGACATATATAGATAAAACTAAAAACAATAAAGGCATAATCCTCCGTCCCGTCGCATGAATTGATACCCCATCACTTCAGCTCCTTTCGGCTGTTTGGATTCGTGCTGTTGGTTATTTTGTCTAGTTTGTTCGGTTCCTGAACCGAGACCACCCCAGAGAACAATTAGAACATGGAAATTCATGTATCTTGTACGAAAACTGCAAAGGAAATAATTAATAGAATGCTCCACTGGGTGGCCGTCATTTTGTACATGTGAACGCACGTGGTTGGGACAATAGATGGCGGACATCTTGTCTCCCGAATGTTGAGAGCTGGACGTGGTCGTCGAGTGCCTGAAACATAGAAACATAGAATGTGACGGCAGATAAGAACCATTCGGCCCATCTAGTCTGCCCAATTTTCTAAATACTTTCATTAGTCCCTAGCCTTATCTTATAGTTAGGATAGCCTTATGCCTATCCCACGCATGCTTAAATTCCTTTACTGTGTTAAGCCTGGAACTCATTTCAGCCAGGCACTCCTGCCAACACCGGTCACCGTGGACCTACGGCCTGTTCCAGTTCCAGTTCACCAAGATGAACAGCGTTTGGGAGTTACAGAATACCGAACATGGGGAGCATTCTACACGAAGCAGCTTTACTATATCTTATGTGGTTTTCGTACAAAACCCCACGAATGGAGACCGGCTCTTGCCACAATTTCCCTGGAACTATTTTGGGCTTCAACTTCGTGGCAGACCGGTCAAAACTTCCCACGATGGCAATCCAAAACTACCGATCAAATCTGGGTGATTTTTGGATATTTTGTTCGCCCAGATCCAAGCTATCCGGGGATGTGTGGGGTTTTGTGGGGTTCCCATGTATTTTGGGGGTACTTTTGGGGTGTTAAAAAATTGTTGTGAGGGGCAGAGCTAAGTGAGCAAGACGCATACTACATGGGTTCCGTACTTTGGGCCGTTTCAACCGAAAAATACACTAACTCCTGATCCTGGAAACAGCGGTAAATACTCACCAGACCAAAATGGGTCGCAAGATGAAAAAACGAAGAGCGGACAAGCCTGGACTGGGCACTTGTTCTGACGGGCGCAGGATGCTTATGGGCCCAAGATGGCCACTGACCTTGAGGATTTTTCTGATTCCTGCGAGGATCTGGCCCTAGACAGCAGGAGCCTGGGAATGCCGACACCCATGTAGCCGGCCTTGGTCTCTGAGAGGGGAGACTCTGCCCCAGTGACTGCGGGGATCCTGAATGAGATGTTGGGAGCCCTCCAAGAAAACCTCCAATTGGATGTGGCCCAACTCTACTCCGACCTGACAGGCCTGGTAGGCCGCCTGGAGGGGGTCGGGACTGCCGCAGAGAAACAAGCTGTTTCAATGGCAGAGCTTCAGCTGGAAGTACAAGCAATGAAGAAACAGCAGGCACTCACTGACCAGCACTTTGCCAAACTGAGGCGGAACTACCACACCTACTCAGACGGATGATGGGGGCCTTGCTGGCACCCAAACAAGCCAAGCACCTCAACTTCGATGCGGTCTTCCGAATCCCAAAAGCCCGACGAGCACCGACAGCAGCACCTCGAGACTTAGTGGTGCGATTCCACAACATGGCTGACAAGATGGCGGTCCAGGCCGCACTGAGGGGTAAAGCCCCGTTCACATTTGAAAACATGACACTTACATTTTACCAGGATCTCTCTGGAGAAACCCGGGTATGGCGCAAATCTACGCAGCCCTTTACAGCACTACGCCAGGCCAATAGCCTGCAATACCGCTGGCGCTCACCACGGTCCCTACAGATCCAGCAAGGAGAGGCCACCCACACGGTGCACGACCTGCAAGAAGCACAGACCCTCCTGGGAATATTGGAGCTACCAGAGGATACTACGTTAAAACCTGGACCTCAGGATCGCATAAAAACCCAGATGAGACCTATCGAACATCCAGTCGTTCACGCCACGGAGGGCCCTCTTGGACACTTCTACCACAGCCACCACCTGAGACTAGCGCCTTTTGCCTTCCAACCACCCCCAACGGGTATTGCCTTCACTGATTGGTTCAAAGATTACCTATGTTTAAGTTTATTAGGTGCGATTGCTTTATTTACAACACAATGTTTCTCAATGACTGATAGATACCCATCGCTCTAAACCACAGACAGGACCTCCCCCCCACACCTCCCTTTCACTGACTTGGTCCCACAGCGCAACCCAGTGATACATGGGGGCATTAACGTTGTTTAGTTTAACGTTTTTCCTCAGCTTAATCCTATAACTCGTGTTTTACTCTAAAAGCTACCATTAATATTCTCTTGTACTAGTCAAAGTCCATTCCTTAAATCATATATTGCATTTTCTTACCGTTTAGTGAAGATGGGCTACCTATTAGCTTTTAAATTATTCTGGCATATCATATTCATATCCTACTTCTTAGACATGATTGTGTAGCCTGTACTGTTTATTTAAAAAAAAGCATTTTCATCATGTCATGTTACTTTTACGCCTTCTTTTTCTTTTTTCCTACTCACTCTTGCTGACATGATCTTATAAGCATGTTTGTATACCAATGACATTCTCTGACGTGTTTACTAGGCTTGTTATACACTTAATTAACGGTACTCAGCTTGCCTGCTAGAACACCCTAACTATAAAATTTATGCAATTGCTCTATATGCCATGCTATATTCTTATACTGTGTTTTTGCGCTTGTCCTGCTGTTGTGGCGCAACAAGCGTGTATGTTGATATTTGCACAACAAAAATAAAGAATTTTTATAAATTCTTGTACTTTTCTGTCCCTGAAGATAATTGAGTTAGTACAGTTCCTGACTCAATTATCTCTCAGGCACAGAGGAGGAGTTTACTGACTGTATACATTTGATGCCTGTGCGTACATTAAAACATTCTTCTCCCAGCATTAAGCCTTTGTTCATGTGTGGGGGTTTATGCTACACCAGTGATATTTTGCCTGTGGGATTATTTGCTGTTTTATATTGGGAAAAGGGCCTCCGTGGCGGTGATACTCTGGCAGACCACCACAATGGCCAATAGTTCTCTATTGCCAATATCATAGTTTCGTTCTGCCTGTGTGAGTTTCCTAGAGAAGAAACCACACAGGTGTAAAGGTTGGTCAGGGGACAAGCGCTGGGAAAGAATAGCTCCTACTCCTACCTCAGAAGCATCTACATCCATTATAAAAGCAAGTGAAGGGTCAGGATGTCTGAGGGTAGGAGTAGAAACAAAAGCTCTTTTCAGGCTCTCAAAGGATTCCTTTGCCTCAGGGGGCCAAGCATAGTGGTTGGCGGCCTTTTTAGTGAGGTTCGTGATAGGAGCTAAAATGGTAGAGAAGAAGTTTTTAATAAACTGCCTATAATAGTTTGCGAACCCTATGAACCTTTGAAAAGGTTTTAATCCTTAAGGTAAAGGCCACTCAACAACAGCTGACAATTTCTTGGGATCCATACTGAATCCAGAGGCCGAGATCACAAAACCCAGGAAATTGACTTAAGCTTGATCAAACAAACACCTCTCCAGCTTACATTACAGACCATTGTTAAAGTGTTTGTAAAACCTTGGAAACTTGTACGTAATTTGTTCTCCGGTCAGGGGAATATATTAAAATATCATCCAAGTACACTATCACGAACGAGTGTATGAAGTCCCTGAGGATGTCATTGATAAAAACTTGGAAAACCTCTGGAGCATTACATAGGCCGAAAGGCATGACTGCATATTCATAATGCACACTTCTGGTGTTTAAGGCGGTTTTCCACTCA